TTTTTCTTAGAATGTTGGGACAAGGAGAAAAAAGCGTTTGTTGTTTGGAGGATATTTTATATAGCAGAAACTTTCTATATACATGAAAAATGTGGTAGAGAGGAGATACAGGAAATATAGAAGTTGCATTGAAGTCCAGTTGAAGCTGGAAGTTATAATCTGTATGATTACTATAGTATTTTTCCTCCATGGCCATACTTAGAACATAAGCATAGGCTGAGGCTGTTTTCAGTTTGGTTTACTCAGCATTGGAATTTGCATAAGCCAGTATGGTGGATGCAGAGTGAGGTAAAGGGGAAGAATTTTAGTTAGAAAGTGGTTGAAATAATTAAATGTAGCATTTAAGCTGGATATGCAAAGAACCAAAGACAGAAAAGGACAAATTATAACAAAAGGCGTAACTCATTGGATATTTTCCAAGAGCTTGGCTCTTTTTACAGTACTGTACATGCATTTTCTCATTAATCTCATAAATCATTATGAGTTGTAAGTGGAAAAAATTTACCCTTTCACAGATGAAGAAACAAAGAACTAGAGTAAATAACTTGTCCAAGGTGACATAGCCATAACTTAACAACCAATGAAAATTCTGCTCACCAACTGGTTAGAAATCATGTTATACCCAAATATTCTCTCGTAGTTATGGAAAATAATGATGAAACTGTTGAACCTACTGCTTTTAATAATATCTATCTATCTATATCTATCTATCTATATATTGTTTTTCTTTTTGAGATGGAGTCTCGCTCTGTCACCCAGGCTGGAGTGCAGTGGCACGATCTCGGATCAGTGCAAGCTCCACCTCCTGGGTTCAAGCCATTCTCCTGTTTCAGCCTCCCAAGCAGCTGGGACTACAGGTGCCCGCCACCATGCCCGGCTAACTTTTTGTATTTTTTGTAGAGACGGGGTTTCACCTTTTTAGTCAGGATGCTCTTGATCTCCTGACCTTGTGATCCACCTGTCTCAGCCTCCCAAAGTGCTGGGATTACGGGCATGAGCCACCGTGCCCGGCCTTTTAATGATATCTTAACTAGAATAAAGAAGGATTGGCTTTACATTTAAAAATACTCATTTTGCAAAAATTATAATGACAAACTATAGCAATTCAAGTATGAAAATAATATAGCCAAAAATACATCATGAATAAAGGATTGTTAAAACCGCAACTTTTTGGTGGCAGTGGATCTCCCTTTCTGTGCCAAGAGTTGCATAAGGCATTTTCACAAAGGCTCTTGTTTTCTTAAAAAACAAAATATATGAAGTTTGGAGTATTAATGTCATTTTATGCATAACATCAGGTTCAAAGAGATGAAGGGATTTAGTTAAACATGCACAGCTAGTTCCATGGCAGAGTGAGGGTTCTGGGTCTAGTTTGTATGCTCACTGCTGTGCATGATACCTTCCAAATGTTTGTCTACTCGGTCAGCCAGGAGAAGCTTCCTCAGCCTTGCATCTTCAGTACATCCGCAGGCATGCTAGAGATTTGTTTACAAACGAAGAATAAACTATGCCATAAGATCAAAGTCAAAATAAAGTGTTTCCTTAACAAAGCAAGGATCTTCCTTAAAATTAAACTATATTTTCATGATCAGTAAACCATACCTTCCACTTGATTTTGAAGATTGCTATAAGCAAACTAAATTACTTTCCATCCTTTTATTTTTTGTGGGTCACAGCATGAAAGGAAATACACATGGAGTGCAAGTTTCACATGCCTGGTTTTAGTTAAATTTCCTTTTTTAAAATAACTGTTTTGTTGTGGAATAAATCATTTTTGACGTTAGCTGCAGAAATTAGATGGAGGAATAATGTTAAGCATGACATTTTCTCAATTATGTTATATCAAGAAGGGAGTTAATAACAGAATAGAAAAACAATAAATTGGAGATGGGGCTGTGTTTTATACTTTTTCAAATGCCAAACAAACTGGTCTGCACCGGGTTATCCAGGTTGTAAAAGTAATCAAGTGATCAGGTTAAGTTCTGGTAACAATACTAAAGTTCACAAGCTGGTTGTGTCTTGCATTTGATTATTTCGAGGAAATGCCAAGTAGAAATTATCCTTTCATTTCTTGATGAAACATTATTAAAATCCATTATTTAAAAATGAAGAGAGTGTTCTTAGGTAAAGATGACTGGCCATTATCTTGTAATAACTAACTGCATAATTGTCCAACAGTAAATGCTAGAGCTTTATCCACAAATGCTGTTCTCTTTTCCTTTATCCCCTTGAAACTGAACATTGAAGAATAAGTAGTCTGTTCCTCCTTCCTTGATATACCCCAATGATTGTAAAGAAGGGTACCTGTAGTTTTATATTATGTTTGGCACTAGTCTAAGTATTGTAGGTGATTTAAAAAACTCATATAAGTTATGTTTTCTACCTTTAAAAGAATGCTTAAGTCAAACAAATAACACATATAAACAAGACACCTGCTAAACAACTTAGCATAATAAAATTCAGTACTAAGTGAAAAGCTATACAATGCTATAGAAGTTCATAGAAGAGAGGGATTCATAAATGCAGAAAGAGTCTGTAAGTCTATTTTGAGATCTGGGCTAGAGTAATGTTTCTCAAAGTGTTGTCCTAAGACTAGCGGTCTCAGCACCTTCTGTAAACTTATTAGAAATGCAGTTTTCAGGGGTTTGCCCCAGACCTACCATATCAGGAACTCTGGGTTGGGACCCACAATCTGCAGTTTAACAAACCTTCCAGGTGATTCAGATGAAGCTAAATTTTGAGAATCACTGCTATAGATAATAAAGAATGTGATATTTTATTCAGTTAATATGTTAAGTGTCTAATATAAAGTAGGAAGAACACAGTCAGTTAAATCTTCAAATAATTGTGGAACTTCATTATTGATGAACTTTGCTGATGGCTACTTATGTTTTTTAAACTCCTAGTAATTAAAATAAAATGATATTAGGTCATTAGACAGGTAGAAAAAAGTAGAGATTTTATAAATCAAAGTAGTCATGATTTTATAAATCAAAGTAGTCATCTAATCATGTATTTTACCATTACTTTTAATGGCAAAAACTGCAATTACTTTTACACCAACCTAATAATTTCAAATTAATTGTTTCTACTATTTGGCAACTGCCTTACCCTCTTTATTTTATATACAGAAGATATAAACTACAGATTGTTTTATAAGTCACATATGACAGTACCTGGAAGTAGGAGAAGTTAAATGATCTAATGACTTACAGCAGTGCGGGTTCTCAAATGGCTGCATTAGAATCACCTGGAAAAATTATTAACACAGACTGCTGACCCCCACCCAGAGATTCTGGCTTAGTATGCTGCAGTATGGCCTGAAATTTTACATTCTGAAGAAGTTGCCATGTTAAATGAAGAAGTTGATCTTGCCTGGTCTGAGGACCATATTTGAGAACTACTAATATGAGAGATTCCTTCTGACTATTGATACAAGTATTGAGTTCAGATAAAAATATTGCCTTGTTTCTCCATAGTATTAGGATCCAACATATCCTTGTCTTGAATTTTTTAGGCTTTTTAAACTGTAGCTTTCAAACTAAGTAGATCCAACGTTTTTTCGTCCAATATTTTTATATGCTTTTCTGTAGAACTACTGGATTAGCAATAACTTCTCTCCCTCTAATTTGGCTAATTTTTAGGAAAGCATTAATCTTTGCTCCTTTTATCCTCAATTGTCATCTAGTGTTTGTAAATAAAACTGTTATAGATGAAATATTTGGCTTTAGTCGGCATTTCACAGTCTAATAAAATGCAGGAATTCACACAAGTGGGAGAATTGTTGTTTAGATAATGTAATATGGTTGATTTTTTTCTAAGTGCTGATTATGTTTGCCAAATTTTAGAGGCTCTTCTGTGCTTTATTTTCTATAATTTTGGGAAATTTATTAGAATATGAAATTATGGATGACAGTGTTGTAAGATGCTTCAGTGCATTGCATTCTGAGACTCTTTCTCCCTTAAACTTATTTCAACTCAGGTATTTGAGACATTTACAGGAAAAAAATGCTTTTGTTTTACTTCCTATCTTGCTTTCATCTAGGATAAAATGTTCTTTCTGGTATGAATCAAGTGTGGTAAATTGCTTGCAGAGAACTTTGCTTGTTGTGATGTAGCATTTTGCTGGACAGAAACAAACGCATGGCTCATAATGACTGTTAGATTTCAAAAAGTCTGGGGTGTGTACATGTGTGTATATGTGTCAACAGGCTCTTCCTTGCTATCCTTTATTTTGTTCGGACAGTTTAATAGTTGTACTAATCTGCAGATATTATACATTTTAGGATTATTTTCCGCTAATATTTATTGTTTTAGTAGATAAAGTGTCAGATACATTTGTATTCACTAGCAATTGATTCATTTGGGAAAAAAAGTTAGCTTCCAAAAGCTAGATGTAAAATAAGATGCTTAACTTGAACATAGTAATGTAAAGATATATATAACTAAAAACAATTATAATTTTAACAGCTACCTAAAATATGCATTTTAGATGTTTATTTTAAATAGGTGTATACTAACGTGCCAGATAATTTCAACTAATAACCTATAAATAGCTCCATTCCTAATGCAAGTTTTGTTTTTACTTTAAAATGTAACTCTTTGAAGGCAAGGTCAAATTAGGTCCAACAAAATGATCAGTTTTAAAGTAAAAATGAAAAAGTGAATATGAATAGGACTGATATAGAATATTGGTCACATTTACCTCGGAGATAAGATGGTCTATTCTCATAAGAATGACTATACGGTACCACAGTTATTTTATAACTTAACTCAATTATCTGCCATTATGTACACATTTTTGTTGTTTATATAGTCACTTTATGAATTTCTGAAAAAGTTATTTGATGTTGGGAAAAGTTAATATCAATAGTCCAGAAGTAATTTTAATTTGTCTATTTGTATCTAATGTTCTTTAATATGTAATGTTATATGTTGTTATTTTGGTAAGCAGACCTCAAAACTGAATTCTCTATTTCTTTTTATCAAATCATTAAAAGGGAGAAGCAGGATCCCCTGGAGCTCCAGGGCAGGATGGAACACGGGGAGAGCCTGTGAGTACCTTCTCATTTCAGTTCTAAAAGATGAAGTTCTTTTCCTGTTTTGAAATCCTTTCGGTTATTTAAATTCTTCTCTCAGATGCCCTATTATTTGTTCAGTGACTTCCAGATTTTAGATGTTGTAGAAGCTCCTTGTGAAACGCCATAAAATATTGAAATGTTGAATCCTCTTTTAGAAACCAGGAAGAATTTTGCAAACAGGGTGAGTCACAAACCACAAGCACTCATGCCCAAACAAATGCATGGTTAACACAAACATCATGGTCTGTTGCTGAGCCTTTAGTCAATGTCACTTTACCACTCATCTATTGTTTCATAGTATGGTCTTTGGGATCTTGTGTTCAATAAAAATCAGGGGTAGAGAAACATGACTAAGAAAGTACTGAATCTGAAATCTAGATATCTACATTTTTAGCAAGTGTCCCAGGTGATTCTGAACTTCAGGTGAGTTTTAAAAATATAGTTTGCCCCCACGTTTTATTCCTACAGCTCATGGCCAACATTTAAATACCAGCAGATCTTATTTTATTCATCAAAGGTACCTACCCTCAAGAAATTTGAAATTTGCTTTGTGGGGAGCTAGGTTAAGAAGTGAAGTAATAGTTGAGATGTATTTTTTATCACATTTAGCACAAAGTGTTCAGTTGAGATTTCAGAATTTAAATAGTGTACGTAAGAGGGAGAGAGGTACCACCAAAGCTTCTTAAATAGGGTAGAGGGATTAAACTGCTCTTAAAGTTACTTAATAAAATTTTCATTGAATTTCATTTGTGTATGATTATGTACTGGGGCAAGTTCTATATAATGCTATTGCCTTCCAGAAGCTTATAATTTAATTTGGAAGACTGAAAAAATTGATGCAAATAATTACCAACTGTTTATAGTATGGGCCAAATATGAATCTGATATGGAGTCAGAAAGCCAGGGTTTGGAGATGATTACTGCTACATTTCATCAGTGTGAGCTTGGAGAAGTCACCTCAAATCCCTGAATATCTTTCTCTAAGTATGAATAGTGCAGATGCTTATAATGCTTACTACATAGGGTTGTTGTGAAGCTTACGTAGGAAATTTTTAAAAATTGTAAGAACGTTGCACAAATGCATGGGGCTATTCTAAGTGCTGGAAGAGTATAGGAAGGTAATCCTGTTATTGAGGTGCTTGACAAAATTTTTACCAAGGGTTTGGGCCAGGTTTTGTTCATGAGAGGATGACTGGGAATTAAAGGAAGATGGGAGAGAGAGAACTCATCTGAATGAAGACACATATGTGAGATGGTTAAAAGTGTGCCCAGGAAATAATGAAATGATCTTAATAAGTTCCTGAATCTGCACAGAATGGTCTCTCTTGGGTGTTAGAAAGTAAAGGTTGAAACTTGGCTAGGGCCATGAAATGGAGAGCCTTGACTGCAAGCTTGAAAAGTAAACCTTACTCATTTGTCATTGAAGTTTTGTGAGAAAAAAAGATAACATAGTAAAAAGAACGATTTTAGAGGCAGTGTATGAGCTTCTGGTGTGTGTGGAATGATTGGAAAGGAGAAGAAACTGGAAACAGGGCACTAGTTAGCAGGCTGTTTTGACAGACCAGGCATGAAGTAGAAGGCCTCGACTAGGGCATTAATAAGCATGGAGCGAGTTCAATAGGGTAGCATCAGCTCAACATATCTGAGCCATAATTGATGCTATTTAAGAAAAATTGTGAGCATTGGTAACTGGATATAAGACTTAGTGTGATTATTTGTTTATGGTATTGTTTCAGAGTATAAAGTGTATGTGTGTGTGGGTGTGTGTGTATGAGGGAGAGAGAATAAGAAACACAAAGAGAGGTGAGAGAAAGAAAGGTGAATGGGTAGAAGAGAAGGAAAAAGAGGAAGAGGGAAATAAGAGGCAACAGACGTGAGAGCTTGGGTATAATTTAGGATGTGACTGTGTTCTAAATGTTTGTGAGTCAGTTATTTGGAATCTGTAACTCATTCTCCTGTAGAAACAATGTTAGAAAGGGCAGACTGACTGGCAGGTCTGTGTAGACCATAATTCAATGTGAGGAGCACATATTTACTTTGAACATGATGCTATTGAAATCTCTTAATAAAACCTAAAAAGAGAAAAGAAATATTAAACATAGGCCGATGTGGTGGCTCACGCCTGTAATCCCAACATTTTGGGAGGCCGAGGAGGGTGGATCACGAGGGCAGGAGATCGAGACCATCCTGGCTAACATGATGAAACCCTGTCTCTACTAAAAATAAAAAAATTTAGCCAGGCATGGTAGCACGTGCCTGTAATCCCAGCTACTCGGGAGGCTGAGGCAGGAGAATCACTTGAACCTGGGAGGTAGGGGTTGCAGTGAGCCGAGATTGCACTACTGTACTCCAGCCTGGGTGACGGAGCAAGACCCCATCTTAAAAAAAAAAAGAAAAAGAAAAAGAAAAGAAATATTAAATACAAAATGAGGAGTGCTTAGAAGATGCTTTCCTTTCCCAAGGCTGCTTGTTTCTCACTTTTATCCCCGAAAAGACACTGGTTTGGGTTTGTTTTTGCCCTGCCTGCTCCCACTTTGTTCAAGACTTATTCCTGTCTAGAGTTGTTGCACTAGAATAATTTACCATTCCAGGAAGTGTGGTCCTTTAGATTTTAACCGTTTCCTTCTTTCCTCCCAATACTCCTTACATCCCTGTAACGTTTAGCTTCAGTGGTGAGGGAAACACAGTGGCTGCCTCATGGAGGCTTACAGCCTAGTTGGGGAGATAGATGGTAAAAGGATAAACAAGCAAAAACTAAATTACCAAGTTCGAAAAGATAGACAAACAAGGTGCTGAGGCAAAGATTAATGTAAATAGGGTTGTAGAGCTTATTGAGATGAAATTTTTCCTCCTAAATCTAGTGGGTAGAAAACTGGGAGTTACTGAGTGAGACTCTCCTACTCCAGCCCAATAGACTGGAGAAGACAGGAGGGGCCCCTTTACTTCTTTTCCTCCATTCCCCTCTCTTTCTTGTTGAATGGCGAAGAGGAAGCCAAGTTTCCTATGCCAGGAAATGCACCCTGTTAGGAAAGCAATTCATAGGTTAAGTGTCTCAAATTTGCTGATGTCTGGAAACAATTCTTCTGGTCTATATTTTCTTCCAAATAAGAACAGATAGCGTTACAAGCTATTTTTTTTTTATTTTTACAATTAATGAAAATTTGGTTTTTATTATGCTCTGCAAATGGATTCTTATCATTTGTGGAAAAGCTTTGAAAATAGAAAAAAATCCATAAAGTTTATATATTTTGTGACACAAAGAAATAAACATTCTTCCATTGTGTGGGAATAATGGTTTTAAGTAGTTGTAATAAATGACTTGGCTCTACTATAAAGGGCATATTCACTTTATTCTATAATGTGGCAGCCAAGAAAATTAATGGAGCTTCAGATGGAAGGACAGAAGCTCTTGGAAAAATGCTTTAAAGCTAATTGAACACAGCTTATGTCAGTCTAATGGTGATTCATCCCTGTAAGCAGATTGATACATATGAACACTAACTCCCAGCATTAAAATTAATGGCTAGCGCTATAATTTATTAGGAAATGATTATATTGCTTCAAAGTACAAGTACATTCACCTGTCAATACTTTGAATTTGAAAGCTAGTATGTGTCAATCCTAAAAGTAATCCAATCCTAAAAGTAATTTACTTTCTAAGTGGTAAATTATACCTAATTAACTTCAATTCAGGAAACTGTAAACTCAGGTCTAACAATGGATAGATTTATTATAACTTGTTTCAACCACGAATTGCTGTGTTTAAAGATTATATTCTTTCAATTATTTATTCAACAGTATTTACTGAGCATCTACTTTGTGCCAGGCATCATACTAATTGAGGAGAATGTGAAGATTAATGAATCGTGGTCTGGCCATCAAGGAGTCAGATGAGCCAATAGATGGCAACACAGTATGAATGTTATGAATGTAGGTATGTAGGGAGCCTGAAAGGCCGTGGAAGATGTGTATAACCTTACATGAGTCTACAGGCGTTGCCAAAAGTTATGCGTTCTTTTAAAAAAAAAATTGCATGCCGGACGTGGTGGCCCATGTGTGTAATCCCAGCATTTTGGGAGGCCAAGGCAGGTGGATTACTTGAGGTCAGGAGTTTTAGACCAGCCTGGCAAACATGGTGAAATCCCACCTCTACTGAAAATACAAAAAGTAGCCAGGTGTGGTGGTGGGCGCCTGTAATCCCAGCTACTCGGGAGGCTGTGGCAGGAGAATCGCTTAAACCTGGAAGGTGGAGGCTGCAGTGAGCCAAGATCATGCCACTGCACTCCAGCCTGGGTGACAGAGGGAGACTCTGTCTCAAAAGAAACAAAAACAAAAAAACCCGATATTATGAGATAGAATTCACATACAGTTTACCTATTTAAAATGTATAGGGATGCCTTCTTATAAACACAACTCTCTTGGCCAAATTCTGGATGATAAATATGAGTGGGCTCATCAAAGTTGTTTGGCCTGGCAAGGCAGGAGTATGCAGCATGCATGTTCCAAAATATAGAAGCAGAAGAAAACATATTCTGAGAAGAACTGACAGTAGTTCAGGCTGCCATGTGGTACATGAAAGGAAAGTGATAGAAACAGTAGGTAAGGTTTTAGGGATAGATAGTGGCCAAACCAGGAAGGACTTTAGATGTCTGTGCTGTTTGCACTTAATTCTGAGAGTAATGGGAGCCCTACTTCCCTACTTAAAACCTTTGACTGGAAGCAGTTAGTGAGCTCTGTCACCTCTAGTAACAACTAAAGCAAGAATGGTCAGAGTTGGGAGGAGGAGAGTGGGATGGATTTGAAATGAACTAAACAGGTACTAGCAGGGCTTGAGGATCCACTGGATGTGGGTAAGATAAGAGATGACTCTCCAAAGTCTTATTGCATGGATGGATACAGAGGAACACCAAACAGTAAGCAGGGAACAGAACACAAAGAACCAGTTTGGGCTAGTGCAAGTGATCCTAAAATAT